CGCCCACAGCCACCTGTGTCCCTAGAGAAAGAAGCTGTGAGGACCTCACCCACCAGGGATGCTAAGCAACCCTCACATATCCCAAGTTCGGGTGAGGCAGGAACAGCAACTCCCACTTCATGGATTTTCGTCAAAAGGAGACTCCGGTCATTCATTAACTAAGCTTGTCTAGAGCCGCATCCAGGTACCAGATGCTGTGCCCAGAGCTGTGTGGGTGGAGAGTTGAATCATCACCCACCCGCACATATTTACTGAGCAATTATGGGTCAGGCACTGTGCCAGGTGCTGGGCTTGGTTCCTGCCTGCTGGGAGCCCACAAAAACCTGTATACAAACAAGCAAACCGCTGCTACACAAAGAGTGGTCCAGCAGCAGCATCACCTGGTAGCTCGTTAGAGACGCAAATTCTCAGGGCTCCAACCCAGACAAGTGAGTCAGAATCTCTTGGGATGGAGCCCAGGAATCTGTTTTTAAAATCTTGCCAGATGATTCTTAATGTGTATATCAGTTTGAGAAACGTGGTCTAGACCACAAGGCGTTCCCCAACCTCCCTACTTAAAACTGAAAATCAGCTCCTGGCCTTGGCACCCACTAACTCTTCCTTGCTTCACTTTTCCCCACAGTTGTATTGCCATCAGTCATAGCACCATGTATTTCACCCATATATTTATGATTTCCCATGTTAACATATAAGATCCAGAGGGCAGCAATTTGACTTACTTTTATTCGCTTTTGTAGCATCAATTGCCTAGCACAGTGCCTAGCACAAAGAGGTGCTCAATAACTGTTTGTTGATTGAATGACGGATGGCAGAACATGCCACATCCCAAGCAGTGCCAGTTCTTGGGGGAGACTAGAGGGAAAGAGAAGGTGGCTGGCCACAGAGCACTGCCTGGGGAAAGTGGTACCAAGGTTGGCCTTGAGGATATTGGGACCAGGGATGAAGGATGCTTGGAACACAGAGATGCTAAGGATCTTACTAGAATAGGGCCTAGGTGGTTGATGCTGTGGATATCTAATTAGCAGCTGGTGTGTGCCAAGAACCGTCTTAGCCTCCTGGACCTCAGAGGCAGGCAGTGTTGTCCTCAGGAGACGAAGAGGCTCAGAGATATTTGAGCCTTTAAATAACCTGCCCTACCCACAAAGAGACTTGTCTGAGAATGTTCACAGCAGCTTTATTTCTAATAGCCCCGACCTGGTAACAAACCCAAATGTCCACCAGCAGGTGAACAGATAAACCAACTGTGCTATATTCAGACAATGCAATATTACTTAGCAACAAAATGGAACAAACTACAGATAGACACAACACGGACGAAACACAGACACGACACTGAGCAAAAGGGAGCCAGACACAAAAATGTATATGCCGCATATGAAGTTCTAGAACTTCAATATAATTAGTCTACTTCGGTTGAACTTAAAGCACTGATAATAGAAATCAGACAAGTAGTCTCCTCCAGAGGTGACGACAGGAGGTGTTCACTGGAAAGCAGGATGAGGGAACTTTCTGGAGAGATGGAAATGCTCTATATCTGGATTGGGAGAGTGGTTAACATCAGAACTCATGGAACTGTACACTTAAAATTTGCATTTTAATGCATGTAAATCATATCTCAGTTAAAAAATGAGCTAAAAATCATTTGCCCTAGGTCACAAAGCCATAGCGGGAGATCTGAACCCAGGTTTGCCCAATTCCAATGGCCAGGGCATACTAGTCTGCCACAGTTGAGCGGGGAGCCCTGGGCAATGCCCCCAGCCTGGTAAGGTGCCTTGCCAAAATCCAAATGAAGGGAATCCGGTTACCCGAGGAAGGATGTCACAGCCCCCTAAACCCCAAACCACAACAGAGACTTGTGAGGAGGCCAAGTAAGTGTCAAGCTGGGATTCAACTTGGATTCAGGCCTCAGCTCTGCTCTTCGCTGGCTTTTAACCTGCGAGTATGCTACTCCATGACTCAGTTTCTCCTTCTGTGAAGCAAGGAAGAAGGAGGGGATCCATGGTTCCCAGGCTTGGGCCACAGATCCTGGGGACCACAGGGCCACAAGCCCCTGTGCTTACCAGGCACTATTATTACATGAAATAAGCAATGTGCCTGCCATATATCTGGTAAGCTATTTTTCAAATGCATGCTAATAGCATGGTGACTAATAAAAAACACATCTATTTCAAAGCAAAAATGAAACCAGTGCAGCTTTTTGTCATTGTGTATTTTCTCAGACAAAAGATACCAAAAGAACAGCCACAGCTCATGACTTTGGTTTAGAGAGGCTGGAATCTCTGTGTAGAGGATTGCTAAGGGGACAGTCACCAAGGGAACGGTAGCCAAGGGCCCTTCCAGGTCAACTGCCCCGAGCTTGTCTGGCATCACTTTGGCAAATGCTTGGCCTCGTGTTTCTCAGACCTGGGTCCCTGTGAGACAAGCCTCTTGTCTGGACTCCAGGGACCAAGGCCCCCATGTGCAGGCTGTGTCCTGGTTCCGCAGCCCAGTCTATAGGGCCCAGTCTGGTCATGGCTACAACCTGGGCCTCAGTTTCCACTCCAGTTCTGATAGTGACCAGCTGTAAGGATTAAGCCTGGGCATTTCTCTCCCTAATCCCTCCCCATCAGCTCCTGGTCACAACATGCCCACTCTGCAACCATAATCACTGAAGACAACTACCCACCTGGGATCTACCAACAGGCCTCCTACCCACCCCCAGCTGAGCCCGGCAACTTCCCCTGCCTCACGCTGCCATGAGCCTGAAGGACTGACAAGCAGGTCTCACATCCAAGTGCAGGGGCAAACCTTTCTTTTACCTACCCTGGTGGCCCACCTGCCACCCTCGTCCACCTGCACACACCCTCAGCTCTGGGGCAGGGGTCCTAGATCACAGACGAAGACCAGAATCAACAGCCTCTCATTCCCTGCGTGGTTCCGTCCCTGCCCAGGTTTGACACCGATTCTTGCTGCTGAGTCAGAGCTTTATAGGGCGTCAGACTAAAGCAGGGGCCTCGTCTGAGCGCCGCCTCCCAAAAGCCCACGGATGGGATGCCCCATTCTGGCGGGGTTTATGGAAACCCCACCCCCAAAAGGAAGACTCCAGGCCAAGGGACACCCACCTTCCCAGACTTCGAGGCACAAATCCCCAATCCCCAACTATGCCCCTAAACCAGAGGCAGGAACCTTGCCAACTTCATATTTTAAAAAATAGCAAACCCAAGGGTAGAAGACAGACCAGCTGCCCCCACACCCAGCCGTCTTCCCCTCCCTGAGACTCCGCGTGCTACTTTTAATCAATTCTCCCTCCATCGGACTGGAAGCAGCCCAAGAACCGGCTTTCTCTTAAGGACACCATCCCCCTCCTCGGCTTCTAACTTTGCCGGTCACCGGACAAAAGATAATCGCCCCCACCCTCCGCGAGACCTCGCCTGCCGCCCACTCCCGCCCCCACGCCGCCCCCACGCCGCCCCAGGCCCCGGTGGCCCTGGTCCCCACTCCCCCGCCCCGGAAGAACGGCGGAGGGCTTTGCCCCGCGACCCCAGGAGCCTCTCCCCAGGGCCGAGGACGCACTCATCGAGGCCCAGCCTGGGAGGTCCCGCGTTCCGCGCGGGGACGGCCCCTTCCCGCAGCAGCCCCACAGCAAAGGGCTCGGGGAAACGCCTGCGGGGTGCGGTTGAGACCCCGGGAGGGCCGCCCCTCCCACCCCCGACGCGCACTCACCAGGCAGCGCCGCGGGGCCCGCGCGTCTGCGCCACGGCCGCGGGGAAACCCACGCGCGCCGTTCAATCCGGGCTCCGAGTGACGAAAAGCCGCGCTCGCCTCCCGCCGGGCCCGGACCGATGCGCCGACCCGCGGACGCGCGGACCGTCTGGCTTCCCAACTAAGTTTGAAAGTTCCCTCCCGGGCGGGAGCAGGACGCGGACGGCGCGCTGCACCTAACCCTCCCGCCCGGGCTGGGCGCGGGGCGCGGGGCCGGACGCCCCCTGTCCGGGGATCCAGGCGCTCGCGCTGCCTTCGCGCCCGGCGCGGCGCCGCGGGAACCCGGCGGGGGTGGGGGCGGCGACCTCGGAAGCGGCGCGGGTGGCCCTCACGGCAGCCCCAGCCTGGAGGGACGCCCGCTCACCGTTCCCGGGAGGGGACAGGCCCGATTGGCCATTACCAACTCGGGATCCGAGGCCCCGCGGGCAGGGACTGCCAATTAGTAAACGGCCCAATTAGTGCGCGGAGGCGCCGGGAAGTTAAAACCCCGACGCGCGAGTGTAGATGACCGAGGCGGGGACGGCGGTGCGGAGGCGGTGGCTGCCCTGCGTGTGTGACTGTGTGACCGTCAGGGCGATGAGTGTGTCTGAGGCTCACCGTCCATGGGGTGGCTGTGGGCGACAGTGTGCGCCTGTGAGTCACTGCGAGTGCGAGCGTGTGACTGTCGGAACGACTTCTTTGTGTGACTGTCCCTAGTTGTGACTGGGTGTGATAGCGGATGGGGGCATGTAACGGGGTGTGTGGCATCGTGGTGTGTAAATGGGTGACTCGTATGTGGCGGTGTGACAGTACGTGGGCGAGTGCGTGTCATTGTGCATAAATGACTGTCAGGGGGACTTGTGTGGGACGGTCAGACAGTGTAAGCAGGTGCACGGCTGTCTGCGTAGGACGGTCGGTCACTGTGTGTCAGCTTGTGAATGAATGTGCGGCTATCGGGGGACGTGGTGAGTGTGAGTGTCACTGTGCCATCGTGTGACTGTCGGGTGACTTCTGCCTGGGATCCGAACAACTCAGGGCGAGCGTCACCGCGAGGGTATCGGTGTGAGTGGCATGTGCCCGTCGGCGGGGCTGAGGTGTGCGTGTCCCCGTGCACTGGCACCGCCGGCGTCTCGCCCCGTGTGTCCCCGAGAGTGCCCGCGTCCCGAGCCGCCGGGGGACTCCCGGCCCGCGCTCCAGCTCGGGACGCTCGGGCGCTGGCGCGGGGTCCGAAGGCGCGGGCAGGCCCCGCCCGCCTCGGCCCCCACCCGGCCCCCGCCTACCTTGCCGCAGTGGTAATAGTCCAGGGGCGCCAGGCCGGCCGGCTCGGCCCCGGGCCGCGCGCCCACCGCGGGCGCCGAGGGGTACAGGCGGACGTCCATGGCGGGCGCGGCGGCGGCGGCGGCTCCGCGGGCAGTGCCTGGGCGGGCGGCGGGTGGGAGCGGTGTGCGCGCGGGTGTGCGAGCGCGGGGGGCGGGCCGGGGGCGGTGCCCGGAGGAGCGCCCCGCCCCCGCCCCGCCCGCCCGCCCGCGCGCTATTGTTCCGGCCGCGGGCGCCGCCGAGGGCCGGGGGCCCGAGCCCCGCAGGGAGGTCCCTCCTCCGGGCCACCGGGTCCCCCGCCTGGCCGTCCGCCGCTGGGGGTCCGGGAGGGTCGCGCGCTTGTCCAGAGGGCCTTTTCACGTCCCTCCTTTCGGCACCAAGGGTGAGGGGAGGGAGAAGCCCCTGCGACGCCCCTCCCCAGAAGTGGGACGCTCCCCACCCTAGATACTTAGGGCGTCGCTGAGCCCCACGCGGCGCGTGGGGGAGGGGGCGGAAGGCAGTGACAGGAACGCTTTTGGAGATGGGTGCTGCCTTCCCCGGGGGCCGCAGCCCAGCGCCTGAGGCTGATCTTAGGATGCCCTCCCTCCTGTCCCACTGGTCTGAGTCACTTCCAGAGGGGCCCTGCGGGACTGCTCCGCTTAAACCCTGACTTTACATATGAGGAAACTGAGGCAGGGACTTGTGGTGTCAGTAAGGGAGCTCCAGGTGAGTGGGCTCCGCTGCCTGGAGAGGATCTAGGACTGAAACCGCCCGGAGAAGGCAGAAGGACCGCGCCTCCCTTTAATGATACCGAGAAGGAGGACCATAAAAATGTCCTAGAAACTGAAGTTCTGAGGTCAAGGCCAGATTTTGCCCCGCCTCACGTTGTCCTGGAGTGAGAGAAGGACCGAAATGGGCTGGCTCCCATGGTGGGGCAGAAAGATGACCGAAACAGGCTCCCTCTCCCACAGAAAAGGCCGCCTACCTTTGCGCGTCACCTACTGGCGGCTGGCCGGTTGCTCCTCCCCTTTTCGTCCGTGAATGGTCTACACTGGCAGTCTCTACTCCCTCACGTCCCACTGACCGCCCCCCTCGCCGCTCTCTGGTACCTGGCTCCTACACACCCAGGGGGGAAGGGCCAGAAGGCAGAAGTAGGTCAGAGCGGGATTCCTGGGTAGCAGCAGGACATGGGCTGCTGTTTAGAGAGGAGGGGGTGAGCCTCCTGTCCACTGGGGAGCCAGCTTGGAACTCAGCTCCCAACTTTGACTTGGGCTTTGCCGTTCCTGGCCTAGATCTAGGACCACTCTTCATGACCATAAAGATCCACTAACACAAGACAGATGTGGGAAACAGGCTTTCGCTAAAGGTTTGGAAACAACAGAGGGAAATTACAGCTCAGAAAGGAAAGCACGTCTAAATACATTTCAGCAGTCATTGTTTCTAGAAATACATTGCCGTATCTCTTCAGAAGGAATTTCCCACCCGCCCCTCTCCTTTTTTTCCATGTGCACATCCAGCTGATCCAGCACTGTTTATCGAAAAGATCACCTTTCCCTCCACTTCTCTGCAGTGTTAGCTTTGTCATAAATCAAGTAGTCCACATGTGCATGGGACCCTTTCTGAATCCCCTAGTCTATTCCATTAGCCTGTTTTTCTCTCCTTGTGACATTATCGCACTGTCTGGGTTACTGTAGCTTTTTAAGGTCTTAACGTCCCAAAGAAAAGTCTACCCACTTTTTTCTTCAAGACTTTGTTGGCTATTCTTGACCTTTGCACTTTCATAGAAAATTTTGTCAGCTTGTCTGTTTACGCATACACAAGTCCGCTGGGATTTTGATTGCTGTCACATTGAATCTTTAGATCAATTTGAGTAAAACTGACATTTTCAATCTTGTCTTGCTATCCATAAACATGCTATGTCCCTTCATTTATTTAGGTTTGTTTTTTTTTTTTAAGTTCTCTCAGCAATGTTTTATGGTTTTCTATGTAGACATTTTGCACATCTTTCATTAGATTTAGTCCTGGGTGTTTTATTTTTTTGATGCTATTATAAATGGTCTCTTTATATGCTTTTTATTTTCTGTTTGTTGCCAGTACAATGTGGTGGTTTTAAAACAAGTCAACAAATTCTTTGACACTCCTTCCAAGGGGCTGAGTCTAATAAACTTCCCCTTTAAAAGCTTGTCTTGGGGCCAGCTGGTGGCCTAGTGGTTCAGTTCCTGCGTCAGCTTCAGTGGCCCAAGTTTGATCCCGGGCACAGACTTATACCATGGTCAGCCATGCGGCAGCAGTGACCCACAAAATAGAGGAAGATGGGCACAGATGTTAGCTCAGGGACAATCTTCCTTAAGCAAAAAGAGGAAGATTGGCAACAGATTTTAGCTCAGAGACAATCTTCCTCACCAAAAAAAAAAAAGAAGAAGAAGAAGAGGAAGATGACCAGCCAGCCAGTCCCTGGTTGGACCAGCCCCCTTATGTTCCAGTTCCATCCAGATATAGTCTGACTGCAACCACATGAAAAACTCTGAAATATCCAGCTGAGCCCTTCCAGAGTCCAAAATGCATAGATACCATGAGAGGTAATAAGTGATTCTTGTTATTTTAATTGAAGCCATGGCTTTAGTTAAGCCATGAAGTTTTGGGGTGATTTGTTACTCGACAATATAGATCTGGAACATATATAGAAGTAGATATAATGTCCTAGTATAATGGGCATTGTATCCAGCGACATTGCCAAACTCACTTATTATAACAATTTGTAATAATCTGTAACATCTAACAATCTGTAGACTCTTTGGCTTTTTAAAAAATATACCATATTCTATCTCATCTGTAAAAACAAGATTTTTAACTTTTTCTTTTCAGTCCTTATACATTTTATGTCTTTTTGTTGCCTCATTGCACTGGCTAGTATTGCCAGGACAACATTCGAAAGAAGTAATAATAGCAGGCATCCTTGTCTCATTCCTGATCTCAGAAGGAAATCTATCAATATTCCACCTTTAATTGTAGCTTGATGTAGTTTTTAATTTATTTTTTTGTTTAATTTCATTTTGTTTTGTTTTGTTGTAGATATCTCTGTTGTGGGTCAGGGAGGTTAATCTCAGCAATCCTCAGGGGCAGGAAATAAGACCACTGTGGCCGTTTTACAGATGAGAAGAATAAGGCCCAGGGAGGAATGCTCAACATGACAGTGTTAGAAGCAGGACTAATTAGCAGTACCTAAACCTGGAAATCCCATCTGGAGCACTTCCCCCTGCCCACCACAGTCTCGGTCTCACTAACTCTGTCCAGAGCAATAGAACAACATCTACAAGGGCACGGAGGCCCATGGCAATGGGGCAGCTGTAGGCAGCTATTTGGCTTCTCTGGGGTCTGCCAGCAGCAGCAAACACCAACCCTGTCACCTACGTCCACTCCCTTTCCTAAGGAAAGGGTCAGCACCAAGGCAGTCTTTGGGAAGGCCAGCAGGGAAGCCCGGCAGAGAAGCCATGTGGACCCCAAGCTTGGGCTTCCCCTTGCGTGTTGGCAGTTGTTCAGACAGGAAGTGGATGACTGGGTTCCCCCAAAGAAACACCCCAGCCTCATTTGTTGTCCTCAGGATGGGAGTGGGGCTTGAGCCTTCCTCTCTTCCTTTTGACCCCATGTGGCATCTGTGAGAAGACAGTCTCAGGTTTCAGCCAGTGACCAGCTGACTCAGGCCAATTTGATCACACCCTGCCTACAGCAACCCAGTTTGGGGACCCAGGATATCTGTTTGTGCATCTTTCGGTTCTCAGCTTCTGGTATCATAAATAGCTGAGATATCAGAATATAGATGTATCTTACTATGTTTTATCATTATCTAGGTATGGTAAGGCAAACAGATCAGGAGACAATTGCCATTGAAAAGACAGTTTGTCACTCACAGTTTCTCAGGGGGCAGGGCACGCCACACCATGGGGGGGCCACACAGGGAAGCACCAAGGTCACTCAGGAGGCAGAGAGAGAGGGAAGAATTGTGGGCAAGAGCATTCATTGTGGTTTCCGCAGGAAGGAACAGGCAAGGCCCAGACTTAGGATTGGCTAGTTTGAACAATTTCAGCAGGCTCTGGGGACTAGGGACTGTCCCTAGTTTTCTGTTACTGGCCCTGGGTGAGTAGAGTAGATGGTTAGTGGCCTGGAGTGTGAGAATCTGATAAGAGGGCATGTGGGCTCTGGATTGGTTGGTTTATATTTGAAAAGCACATGCACAGGTGGGTTGTTTACTATCTCTAGGAAATGGCTAACCCTAGAAGGGGCAGCCCTTCAGAGTCTGTGAGGCCCCAGACATCACAGCGTCTAATACAGAAAAGACATGGTTAATACAAGATGCGTCCACTTGCCCATGGGATCGCAGAGGGAAATGAGTCCTACTCCAACTATGGCCCCCTTACCTGGGGAAGGTCTCAGCTTTCAATCAAAATGACCAACCCCTAAAAAACAACTGTGGCGAGGAGTTAAATACCCAACTGTGGGAGTCCTTGGGTCTCATCATGAATATTCCACCTCTTTCTCCTGATGGCATTTAGTAGAATTGTACTTCCCCTCTCACTTGAATTTAGGTGTGACCATATGACTTGCTTCAGCCATGGGAACATGAGCCAAAGTGATGTGCGTCATTTCCAGGTGGGAGCTTTAAGAGTGTAGACATACTTCACCCTATTCTTTTTTCCTTCACCCACGAAAACCCTAACAAACTCCAATTCATTCTTTAAGACCCAGTTCAAGTAACACCTCTTTGGTGAAGACTTCTCCAAGACTCCAACTCATTGCTCCAATAACCATCTGCACACAGGACCATTAGTGTCGATTTCACCCGAGCGTAGTAACACCTTTGCCCTATGAGTATCTCTAGGACAGAAACTATGGCTCGCTCGTCGTGGTGCCTCCAGTGACTCGCACAAGGGCTGACGTGGCAGGGCTGCTTTATGCCCTCCTCCAGGGGAGGCAGCACTTGCAAGGACCAGCCTGTCTACACCACACCTCCTCAGGAAGAGGTAACCTCTGAATTGTTCAGATTCCAGGGCACAGATGGGC